TTTTCATTTAGTAAATGAATGCTACTGGCGCTTTAATTTTGAGAACAACAGTTAATACACACAGTCTTATCTTTTTTTATTTTTGCAAATCAAAGACACCAATCTTTTTCCATTGCTTAAAATAATTATCACATTATCCAAAATTAAGAATATTACTACATAAAATTATATAATGACAAATATAAACATGACATTTATTTATACTGTAGTGGCAGCAAGGTTTTTTATTTTTATTTTTTTTTATTTGAAATGGTTACAGAGAGGGAGGGAAAGACTCAGAGATCTCTTTTTAAGATTGATTTATTTATATTGGAAAGGCAGATTTATAGAGAAGATTTATATGTTGGTTGACTTCCCAAGTGGTTACAGTGGCTGCAGCTGATCTGATCTGAGGCCAGGAACTTTTCCCAGGGCTCCCACATGGGTCCAGGGACCCAAGGCTTCAGCACCCCACTGTGGCTTTCCCAGGAAAGCAGGAAGCTCCCAGCGAAGTGTAGAAGCCGGGACATGATCCAATGCCCTTATGGGATCCCAGCCCTTGCAAAGGGAGGAATAACAATTGAGTCATTGTACCATATCCATAGATTTACCTATTTTGATTTGAAAGGCAAATTTTAAAGAGAGAAGGACAGACAGAAAGCTCTTCTGTCTGATGGTTCATTCCCCAAATGGCCACAAATAGCAGAATGTAGCAATCCAAAGCCAAGGATATAGGAGCTGCCTCTGGGTTTCTCACATGGGTGCAGGCTTTGGGCCGTCCTCGACTGCTTTCCCAGGCCACAGGCAGGGAGCTGGATGGGAAGTGGAGCAGCCGGGACAGTAACCACATAGGATGGCAGCACTTGGATATGGCAGATTAGCCAGTTGAGTCATTGCACTGGCCCAAGAGATTAAGAGATCTTACACCCTTCGGTGAATGGCTGTAATGTCCATATTTAGGCCAGACCAAATGAATGAAACAAGAACTTCTTTTGGATCTTGCCCGTGGGTGCAGGGATCCGAGCACTTAGGTCATCTTCCCGTTCCTGGATGCTAGCAAGGAGCTAGACTGGAGATGGAGCGGCTGGATCCCCCAGCTGGTGCCCAGGCTCAGTTTGCAGGCTCAGTTTTTACCAACAATGCCACTTGGCTGGCCTCAGCAATGGATTTTATCCTAGTTTCTGTGGCAAAATAAATATTAAAAATGGCAAGAGTAGAGATCTGAAATGTGACTTTTGCACAGCCTCCATTTCCATTGGAGAATTCCGCCCCCCACCCCAGCTTTGCTGATGTATAATTGAGAAATAGAAACTGTGTAAGATGAACAACATGATAGATTTGTTGCACATACACATTAGGTGGGTTTTATTACCATGAAGCTATTAAGCATATTCTTTGCCTCACAGTTACCAGATTTTGTGGGTGTTCATAGCATTTAAGATACACATTTTAAATATATAAAATAATATTCAGTATGAAATACAATAGCATTGATTATGGTCCCATGGTTCACTCCCCAAATACCTGCAACAGCTAGATCTGTGTGGGCTGAAGATAAGAACCCAGAGCTTAATCTGAGTGTCTTCCTGGATCTTCCATATGGCTGCTCTGAGCCTAGTTACTTGAGATAACCCTGCCCCCTCAAAGGGCCCGTATTTGGTAGGAAACTAGAATTGAGTGTATAACTGAGACCTGAACTTACTCATTCAGTAACTGAAAGTCTGTGCCCTTTGACTTTCTCCATTATGCTATGTCTGGTTCCTAGCAACTACCAATATTTTTACTCTTTATTTCTTTGAGCTATTTTTTTTAAGTTTCACATGTAAGTGAGTTTGTCTTTTTATGTCTGGCTTGTTTCGAAGTGTTTCTAGGGGCCATTCATGTAACTGGAAATTTCAGAGTTTCCTTTTTTTTTTTTTCTTTTCTCAAGATCTATTTATTTTTACTTGAAAGGTATATTTAACAGAGAGAGATCTTCCATCTACTGGTTTACAACAGCCAGAGCTGAGTCCACCCCAAACCAGTAGCCGGGAACTTGTTCCAGGTGTCCCGTGTTGGTCCAGGGGCTTGAGGCCCTAGACCATTCTCCTCTGCTTTCCTAGGCTATAAGCAGGGAGCTGGATCCGAAGTAGAGCAGCCAGGACACAAACTGGGGCCCTAGGTGTGCCAGCTGTGCAGACAGGGGATTAGCTTGTTATGCTGTCTTGCTCATCACTGGGCTCAGTAGTGTTCTGTTGTAGGCACCTGCTACATTCTCATCCCTTCGTCCATCAGCAGATACCTATGTTGTTCCCCTCTTTTGGATGTTGGTAACAATTCTGCAGCAAACGCAGCCTTGAGGGTCCTAACTTTAGTCCTTTAGTGTGTATGTCAGAGGTGAAATCATTTGTGTGGTAGTTCTGTTTTTAAAAGGTTTGTTTGGGACAGGATGTTGGGGAGAGATCTCCCATCCATTGATTTACTCCTCAAATGCCTGGGGATCTGGGAGTGGGTCAAGCAGCCAAAATGATTCTAAGCAAAGGGTTTATATACTGCTGTTAAGAAAACATAAAATTCTCAAATAACCTAATATAACACTTGGAAAAAAGTGAGAATAAACTAGAAAAACAATATTATAAAAAGCAATAATAAATGAAACAGACCAGAAAGAGGATTTTTTCCCCCTCTTTTGCTCAAATACCTACTAGAGGCCATTTTCCTTTGTGGTTATCATGAGGGTTTGATAAAAATAATCTTGCACTTGTAATATTCCAGTCACATTTAAAAAAACAAACTTCCACACATCATCCACAACCTTCGCCAGGGCTTATGTGATTGGTGCTGTGTTACATCTTTTCATATGCTGCATCCATTAGCAAATCATTGTCATATCGTTGGTTTTAACACTTTTATAACGTTGGTGTTACTCTGAGAAGTGATTCACACAGTATTATGGCACCGGTGTAATCCGAATCTGTGTGTATTTATCTGTCAGTAAATTCTGTACTTTTATATGTTCCCATGTTATTACCCAGCATTCTTTATTTACTCTGCAAGATTCCCTTCAGTGTTCTTCATGTGGCAGCTCCGTCACCTTTGTCCAGAAATGGCTTTATCTCTGGTTAGGAAGGACAGCTTTGCTGGGGGATTGCTGTCTGTCCATCCATTTTTTTCAAGTGTTTGTTTGTTTGTTGTTTTTAATTTGATAGGCAGAGACAAAGAGATTTTCAGTTCACTGATTCTGTCCCTCAAATAGCTACGAAGGTCAGACCTGGGCTGCTTCACATGCAGGAGCAGGAGCTTCTTTCCTGGTCTTCCAAGTGAGTTCAGCAGCCCGTCTCTGCTGCTTTCCCAGGCCATTATCTGAGAATGGAAGTGGAGTAGCTGGTACTTGAACTGGTACCCATGTGAGATGCTGATACTGCAGACAGAGGCATAAATTACTATGCCATGCACTAGCACCTCAAATTTTTTCACTGGCATTTTGAATATATCTCAGATATCCCCCTGGTCTGCAAGCTTCTGTTGAGAACTCCCCGGATACACTGCCTTAGTGGTAGTTGTGATGATTGAAAGGGATCAGTTTCACTTGACAAGTTGTGTGTGTGTGTGTGTGTGTGTGTGATGCTTTCAAAATGCCTTCTCTGTTTCCTCACACTTTTCTTATAATATATTTTGGCATATTCTGCTAGTGGATACAGTGAATCCATCTCTCACCCAGGATTTGGGAGGTGTTCAATCATTTTTTATTTAAATAGACTTGTTCTATTCCTCTTTTTACCTTTTGAGCTTCCCCAAATATATACATCTGTTTGATGGTCACCATGTGTTCTTTGTGCTTTCCTCTCTGCTTTGCGTCTTTGTTTGTTTGTTTGCCTGGCACTGGTTTCAAGTGATCTTTCCTGGAGTTTACTTTCTTGTTGTGGTTACTGTTGAATTTGTCTTTCTTGCATAGTCAGTCGGTCCAGCTCTGTTATTGTGCTCTTCACTTTCAGGAGTGTGTGTGTGTGTGTCTTTGTCTTTCTATGGGACGCTCTGTTTCCTTAGGAAGCTACTCATGTTTGTGTGTATGCTGTATTTTCCTTATTGCCTGTAGTCTCTCGTACCTTATTAAGCTCCTTTAAGATGATTGATTTCCTTTTCGGTTTAATGTCTGCTTCTTTGTGGTTTGCTAGAGGAGATTTATTAGTTTCTTTTGGTGTTGTGTCATGTAAGAAAGAAAATCTGAAAACGTCTATATAGAAAGCTTATTACAGTTAACAGGACTGTTTACCCACTTTAGCTTGATATAGCAATCATGCATATCTGGTGTCAGCAAAATGCCATTTGAAAATGGAATGCTACAAAAAATGGTATGAAGATAGCGTATTTGGGAAGTGATTATTGGAGCCAGTAGATGGAAAATTGATGGATGACCAGTGAACTCTGTGCACCCAACACCTGGGCTGTCACTTCCTGATGCATGTTAGCTTTGCTAACACAGGGGAAATTGGGCATCTGATTGAAGGGAATATCAAATGCACCACTGCTTTATTTATTATTCTTACTTAAGGAAACCTAATATATTCCAATATTTAAAGGTGTTTCTTAATATCAAAAACAAAAAGGAGAGGGAAGGTGTGGGATTGTTCATAAGATTAATAAAGAAAGGTAAGGTCTAATGAGTGTATGGACTTTTTTTGTATTTGATTTTTTTTTTTCTGTCAGATTTTTTTTTTTTTTTTGTCATTTGGAGCTTGCTTGTGCCTTTTATTTTATTCTACGATCCAGTTATATTCCGCAAATTACATAATGAAATACTTGTTCCTTAGAGGACAACTTGAGGGAAGCATCATTATATATAACTTACTGTGACAGGACAGAATTTTTCAATTGTTGAAAGAGTTTTGCCGCTGGGATTCTTTGTCGGTTCCTGTGTCCTTTGGCGCTTTTATTGTGAGACTGTAAATAAACATAATGTATAAAACATATCCTGGATTGTTAATATTTTCAAAAAAATATATATATATATATAAGAAACTTGGTTCTCCTCCTCTCCACAGGCAAGTGAAAGACCAGAATAAGAAGGTCGCCAACCTGAAGCACAAGGAACAGGTGGAAAAAAAGAAGAGCGCCCAGATGCTGGAGGAGGCCCGGCGGAGGGAGGACGACCTCACCGACAGCTCCCAGCAGCTGCAGGTCAGAGCGCAGAGAGCGCCCGCAGGGCCTGGGTGAAGATGCCACCCTGAACTGCACGTTGCCTTCTCCTGCTCTTTCTCCTCCTCCTCCTCCTTTCTCTGTCTCACCCTGCTGGCTGCCTTCCTCTCAGGCCCACTGTGTAGCAAGAAAGGAATGGCTTTAAAACAGAAAAAGGCAAGTTTTATTCCACAGATTTTTGGAGGACACCTCCGCATAGGAGAGAGTTCATCTTGCTTCAGGTTGGTCACACTTGATTGGTAAGTTCTCTGCTAGTTTCCTGAGTGGGTGATGACGGTGTTCAGGGCTGTCAGTGTAACTGCCTGCCTGTTCCATCAGCACAGTGCATTGCTAGTCGTGTTTGGGTTTCTTCCTTGTTTCCCCTGCTTCCTGCTACTGTCTCTTGCTTCTCTCTCCCTCCTCTTTTCAAAAACTAGGTTTAGAGTCAGACTCGATATACAACTAAATTTTTTCATTTCAGTGGAGTGATGATTGATGTGTAAACCTAATCATTTGCAAATTAATTAAACCGGGCCAAGTAACAGTACCAGCAGCGGCCGTGTGATAAATGCCAGTATTTGAAACCAGGGCCACATTATTCCTCTACATACATAACCTTTTTAAAAAGAAATTACTTATTTGAAAGGCAAAAGGACAAAGAGAGAGGGATGATGAGAAAGAGATCTAACGCCCTGCACAAATGGAACTAGGAGCGCAGTGCTCCATCCTGGTCTCCCAGAAGGGTGGCGTGTGCCCAGGCACTTGGGCCATCCGTGGCTGCCTTCCCATATACATGAGCAGGAGACTGGATCGGAAGTGAAGCAGCTGCGCCTCTGACCAACATTCCCCACAGTCCGTTAGGGGCAGGTCGTGTTGGGTTTATTTACCAGGCAAGGAAAGAAGAGTCAGAGACAGTTGAATGACTTACTGACTCATTGGCAAGTTTATCAGAGACTTCCTGCAACCTGCGCTCTGAATCTCGATCAAGCATCTTTGGAGATTTAGGTTTTAGGGAATCACTGCGTAAACTGGCCAGGATCTTCTGAAACTCCTGCTAGGTAGGCTGTGCCATCCACGGGATGTTGTTTCTAGTTTCACCTTCTAATTACAAAATACTCAACGGAGAGATTGCAAGAAGCCATTTTAGCCTTAAAGCAAGTCCACTTCACACGTGAAGACAGCAGTTTTACTTTATTCACTCCTCTTTGCTGTAACTTACCTTACACTCTTTTTTTTTTAAGATTTATTTTTATTGCAAAGTCAGATATACAGAGAGGAGGAGAGACAGGAAGATCTTCCATCCGATGACTCACTCCCCAAGTGGCCACAGTGGCTGGAGTTGAGCCAATCTGGAGCCAGGAGCCAGGAGCTTCTTCTGGGTCTTCCACATGGACACAGGGTCCCAAGGCTTTTGGGGGCCATCCTCTAGTCCTTTTCCTGGCCACAAGCAAGGAGCTGGATGGGAAGTGGGGCCCAGGGACATGAACTGGCACCCATTTGGGATCCTGGCGCATGCTAGTTGAGGACTTTAGCCACTAGGCCACTGCGCTGGGCCCTTATCTTATAGTCTTTATAGGAAAAATATAAATTTACCTAAATGCACCATATTATGAAGAAAAGCAACATACTAACCTTTGCCAATAACCATTAATATTGGCAATTATTTCTTCTTCTTTTTACTTTTGTCCTTTAAAAAAACCTGATGGGTAGAAAATATTACATTCTCTGATTACCAATGACATTGAGTTTGGTATCATGTGTTGAATTTCTATTTATTTGTTTATTGTACCTCACATTTCTCATAAATGGTAGCTTCATTCCCATGGATTAGTTTGCTTAGTTAATATTACCATTTTTAATCAGATACTTATTCATAACTATTTCTACATTGTCTTGTGTTTTTTTTTTTTTAACATACCCATTTTATGATATTTTGTATGGTGAGGGCTTTTTTCCCCCATAGTAATTTCACTGGAGTAATTATATAGGGAATTATTTTATTATTCATACATTTGATTTCACATCTTTAGACTTGACAAAATTGGAGAATCATTAACCCATTTCTACAGTTGCATGTTTGTCTGTTTTCTTAAACTGTGACAGCATTGCTTTTTAATTGTGAGAAGTAGTTTGTTGTATAAGATTAGATAGTCCTCATGTTAAATGTAACTGGTAAATGTAACTGGTAAATATCTCTGCTCCTTTCCTCGCTCCTCAAGAATATACTGCTTTACTACTAATCTGCTGATGTCAGTCGGAGTGCTGTTTTGTCTCCTATCAGGTGGGATAACACTAGAATGTTTCGCTGTGCAATAATCTCTTATTTACTATTTAAAGTGTGAAGAAAGTAAAACAGATTTTATGATTTATATTCTACATATGGAGAAAACTAATTTGGAGTGGCTGACCTATTTTTCCAAGATGTTAAAAATTATACCTGGTGATTATAAAGATGTTCTTTATTCAAATATAGACAGTCGCTCTGAAGTACCATTTAGGCTACTTAGGATCTAATTTCTGTTTTTTTAATACTAACCACTCTGTTGCTGAGCTGCTTTGGTTGTGTTAATGCCAGTGGGAGCCAGATGATTTCCTAACGCGATTTCCCACTAACAGAAGACAGAGTTTTTGGAAAAGTGAGCAATTTCAGTGTTAGAACAGGTGACGTACGAGGTGGGCCTGTATTGGCGGCATTAGACTTGTACGCGTTGGTTACCGGAAGGGCTTTGCACAACACGGCGGCAGGCCCTAGTTCATGGGTTTCGGATCTAGCCTGGGATAGACTTTAAAGGTACACATATGCAAATACAACATAATGAAAGCCTATGGAATGATCGTCTCACTTCCCAAATCACACTCTAGGGAAGTTTAGGGAATTTGTAGAAATTCAAATTTTAAAATAAGCTTATTTTGGTAGAAATTTTTTTGAAATCCATAATGGGGTTTTTCTGATACATATTTTCCATGTAATTTTTAAAGTGCTCTTCCATGTTCTTCTCTTCTTCCAGAAGAAATCATAATTGTGATTTTTATTATTTTCTTTATAAACCTGTGTGTATAGTACATAGTGAATACAAAATATAGTTTTGCATATTTCCCCTTTTCATAAATGTTTTAAAAATTCATGTGTGCTTTTGTCTCTGCTCTTTTTTTGTTTTAACATTATGTGCGAGAATAACTGAATTCTTCTGGCTTAATACATTGAAAGTGGATGAGATTGAACAAATTCCTTAGATATAAAATGAAAAGGATACTGAAAAATTTAGAGAATTGGGGGATCCTATGGATAGTCTAAATGTTTTGCCATCACTTGTCATAGCTCTAAGTTATGATCAACCCTCCTTAACCATCACATTGTCATTTAGTTGTATCCTGTTTTTCGCAGTTAGTAGTATCTAATATTAAATACTGCTAAGTCCCTTTATATAGGTTCATAATGATTAAAGGTCCCAAAGTGATTTTTTACGTGTAGGTTATAATTATCCTAAGCATGTTTTTTGACTTTGCTATTTCATGTCCTGTTGTATGCAGCGTTACATCTCCAACAGTTACATGTACACATATACAGAATTGTATATGTGTAACATATATGTCTAACCCTAACCCTAACCCTAACTTTACTGATTACAAAGTATTAAAAACAGCTCGATTTCCTGTAGTTAGGAAAATACGTGCTTTCATAATGATGCGTGTACTTAATGGAGACTGGCAGCTTTATAAAATAAATGAAATAATTTGAACGAAAAGAAAGGGAAAAAAATAGAATTTAATCCATAGAATGAAATTATCCCTATACATCCCTGCTGATATAAATAATCAAGTGCATAAATGCAGTCGAAGTGACTCCTAAAGGTTTATTTGTTTTATTTGGAAGTGAGAATTACACAGAGAGATGAGGATTTTGCATCTGCCATATCAGTGCTGCATCAGGCTGAAGCCAAGAGCTTTCCCCAGGCCTTCCCCATGGGCAGCAGGGACCCAAACACTTGACCCATTCCTGCTTCTTCTTTTTTTTTAAGATTTTAAATTTTTATTTGAAAGACGAATTTTACAGAGAAAGAAAGAAAGAAAGAGTGAAAGTGTGTGCTTCAAACACAGGGTGTGCTTTAGCAGGAAGCTGGAATCGGAAGCGTAGCCAAGACTCTAAGCCAGAAATGCAAACATGAGACACCAGCATCCCCAGTGCCATCTTGCCTGATCTTGCCTGCTGCCCCAAATCCCTGTGCTCAAGTAAGGAATTAGTACCTGGCACCGAAGTGCCGAAGTGGTACACATCCAAAAGAAACTCTTACTCAGAAGTTGAGTTTTCAGCCTTTTTCCCGGCTCGCAGAATGAAGCAGAAGCCTGCTGCACGATACTGGACAATGGCGGTGGAACTGCAACTCTCAGTCAACCCCCTGATCGCAAGGAGGAACACTGACCTCAGCAGGAATTCTGTGTTACTGAGTTTTGTTCAGTAGGTTGGGTGTGTTTAGCTTCATGATGGATCTGTTGGTATGTAACCTTACATTAAGTCAGGAGCATCTGTGTAAGTGTTTTATGTGAATCACCTTTGGAGGCCGAGAAGCAGGAGGACAGTGCAATTGAGAGGTGTGACCTGGTGTATTCATTGTGGTCAGAGACATGGGACACTGTGGTCCCCTGTGGCTAAGGCAGGCTGCTTCCTTACGCTGTGCCTTCGTGGTTTGGGAAGTGGCAGACTGTCCTGTTTTGATCCAAGTGTCTGCTTTGGCCAGTTTATCTGTCACATACTCATCTAAGATAGCTGTCCCTCAAAGAGTCTTTGTACCTAATTTGCTGGTTTCCTAATCTTTACTCTTCTACTTATTCAGAATCTTTTTCCTTTGAATTTCCAGTTTTGCCACATCACAATTCTGTGGTACAATTAATGTTCATGAACTCTAGTCTGTGCTTGTTCTGATCTTAGCTATGAATTCCTTTTTGCTGTTTCGTACTTTTCAGTGCATTGTTTGATAATTACCTCTGTATGTTTTCCTTCCCCT